TCCTGAATCTGGATCTAAACCATTACTTCCATGGGAACAACATATTTATTTGAAATGCTAACGCACCTTCATACTGAAAATATTCCAGGGCAGCATGCAATAATAGAAGTACAATGTAAAAAAACCAACATTCACATCTACCTTTGTACAACCATAAAATTGGAAGACAACCAAACCATAAGATCATCCAGCAGAACAGAGACAATAAAACCAATTTAAAATGCCTGGGCAAATAAAATTGACTTGACCTGGCATTTGGAAAGATTGCAGTGTCAGAGCCAGTTTAACTTCTTTAGGGAGAATGTTTCAAAATTAAGAGGGTAATAAATGAAAGCTAAAAGTGTAAGAGTTTCTCCTTTACTCAACCCACTATTTCACCTCCTAACCAACTACCTTATTGGTGATACATAGTTGTTTTCTCTGGCAATTGACTGGCAGTGTTTGGCAGCAGGAATCAGGCACCAAGGGGCCTGTGACAGAGAATGTCACTTCCACAATTCTGAGATGCCAATCCATGTTAAAATCTAGTAAGTCAGAGTTTGGAAAGTCATTTTGTTGATCTGTGACTAGGGGATTCTGGGACTTGTAGTGCAAAACGTTTTTAAAAAATTCTCCATGGATGGGTCCAACCAACAGATGTGTCAAGATGCCAAATTAGAATCAAATGCAATGAGAAATTTATCACCAATGCCACCCTCAATGTAGGATCATAGCTCCAATGTCTTAGATGTAGGGCTTCATCCTCCTTTCAAAAGTATGATAAATTCCCACATTTAAAATGTTTTGCTTCCTAAGATAGAACAGTAAAATGTGTCTGCCTTCCCCAATTCAAGGTATTTAAACTGGGGCAGAAAATAGCAGAGGTGCCTCTGGAACTAGAAATACAATAGTAGGAACATCTTTTAATATAAGTAACATTTTACTGCCATTCCTTGACATTACAAATCAGTTGCCTCAGGTGGCTGCGTTCCTCTTGGAGCTCAAGGCCTTGATTGATCAGTTACAAGGCAAGCTGCATTTCTGTGGGAAGACACTGCAAGAACTACAAGCCTACGTCCCAATTCAATCTTACTGTGGTAAATCCAGTTCTCATGGTGTGGGAACTGATGAATCCTTCTCTAACCTGATACAGGTGTTCCATATGGAGGCCCATACAGCTGTACACTTCATCCATATGATTCCCGTTGCCCGGCATGTCTGAGATGCCATAATCTGAGGTGTGAGTTGTGTCTCTTCGTGTGCTTTGTCACTTGTAAAATGCCAGCATCCACAACTGGCTGTACCATTAGGTAGGTTTTGAGTGGCATGAAAAGACAGCAGGCAGCATTAGCTTTGGGATGGCATAACAAGACAGCAAAGTACTACAGTTGGCCTTCCAGATCCAGATTCTGCATCCAGGGATTCAACCATCCATGGCTTGAAATTATTCCAAATCCAATCCCCCCAAAGCAAACCTTGATTTTGCCATTTTATATAAGGGACACCATTTTACTACCACACTGTATATAATAGGACTTGAACATCCATGATTTTGGTATCCATGGGGGGTCCTGGAACCAAACCCTAGTGGATACCAAGGACCCACTGTACATATTTTTGTTGTTATCGTTGTTATCCACCTTCAAGTTAAGTCCAACTTACAACTCTATCACAGTGTCTTCTTTGCAATGTTTATTCAGAGAAGGTTTATCATTGCTTTCCTCTAAGGCTGAGAGTCTGTGATTTGTTCGAGGTCACCCAGTAGATTTCATAACTAAAAGGGGATTTGAACCCTGGTCTCCTACAGTCCTTTTTGTGGATGGGGATATATATTGATCATTTCCAGTTTGTTGGCCACTGTTTGTTTTCCATATTTATTGACCAATATTAGTTAACACTAGAGTTTATTCTGTCTATGTGGCTTGTAGCTGTTCAATTGGGATATCATATGTTCCTGAACACTTCTTTTTCTTATTGCAACTTTCACCTCACTTTTTAGAATTTGTGGTTTATCTTCATTTAGTTCATTTCATGTGTTCATTTTTCATCTTTTTTAAAAAATTCTTCTGTGTTACATTGTTTTCCGCATTGCCATTGTATGCTCCATCACCAGGTATGGATGTGAGAGCTGGACAGTGAAAAAAGCAAATAAGAAAAAAATCAGCTCATTTGAGTGTGGTGTGGGAGAAGAATGCTGAGGATACCATGGGCAGCCAAAAAGACAAACAAATGTGTCCTTGAACAGATCAAGCCTGAAATCTCCCTGGAAGCCAAGATGATCAAACTGTGGCTGTTGTACTTTGGCCACATCATGAGAAAGCATGACTCATTAGAAAAGACAGTAATACTAGGAAAGGGAGAGAGCAGCAGAAAGAGATGAAGATGACACTCCTGAAGTATAAACTCAGGGGGGTTGCAGACTGCCAGAAATAGTGCAAATTGAGTCCACTTTTAGGGTTAGGGTTAGTGCTAGGGAATCATGGGAATTGTTTTTTTTTCTGAGACATTGAGCCTTCTCTGTCAGAGAGCTCTGGTGCCACAATAAAATACAGTTCCCATGATTCCCTAACTCTAACCCTAACCCTAAAAGTGAACTCAATTTGCACTATTTCTGGCAGTCTGCAACCCCCCACAGTCAGGGAGGCCATGGGCCTGACTTTGCAGGACCTGAACAGAGCAGTAGAGGTAGAGGGCAGGGGATCTTGGAGATATCTCATCCACAGGGCCACCTTGATTTGGGCTTGACTTGATTGCAGTTAACAACAACAAACAACAACAAACAACAACTCCTGCTGTCCTAGTCCAGTACTAAAGCCACTGCCTCACACCACTGGTTTCCCCCCCTCCTTCTTCTTGTGTGACTTCCAAGTCCTTTCCTTCTTATGGCAACCCTATCAGAGGGTTTTCTGAGGCTGAGAGTGGGTGACTTGTCCAGGGTCATCCAGTGGGTTTCCATGGCTGAGCAGGGATTTGAACCCTGGTCTCTTGAGTTGTAGTCCAGTTCTCAAACCACTACCCCATGCTGCCTCCTGCTGCTTAATTTGCTTGTTGTTTGTTTGTTGTTGTTGCTGCTGTTGCTAGGAAGGGGGAGAGGTATGTGTGGGATTTTTTTTTTT